TTTCCTTTGTAATTTTTTACTTCTTATAGCTAGAACGGCAAACCCTTTATCTGCTTCTTACATAATGTATCGTTAAAGATACTTTCCCAGAAAAGTATATATCGGGTGGTTATGTTAAATACAAGTATGGCAATTATGGTATATATGGAAAGTAGAAATATCCAATTTTACTAGAAAAATATTGGATTCCCTTAAAAAGACCCATTGAACGCATACAGAACAAAAATGTAAGGGTGTTCCTAATCGAAAGCCCGACGATTAGGGATGTCTGCTCACATCACGTCAAAGGTAGCACGAGAAGGTTGAGCGTTTGATGTATATGTTGATAAACTTGATGAAGATTTAAACGTACAACACTTTCTGATATAAAAACCACGGAAAAAGACGTGAGAAGTGGTTAATCCGAAAATTTAATTAGGCTTTGACATTTATGATATATGGATAGCGATTAAAACCAAAATCGTCTTGTGTATGCTTCGCGCCCGTTACTAGGTAGTGCGTCCGCTAAGTCGCGTGGCACAAACATGACTTCTTTTAATAGATTTTTTATAGTAGGGGTATTCCCTCGCGAAAACAGTGTTTTGAGAAGGATTTGAAGCAAAATTTTGATAGATTCATTTATTTGAATATGCTTTTAGTCCAAATACATCATCAAATCACCCAGTTTGTACACGAGAACATATCTTTAAGATTAATATTTTACGACGGCGACTCCGTGAAAATCCAACCATCATGAATATACTTATAGTTATAAAGAATTATATTATTCCATTAAAGATTCGAAAGTCTAGAATTTCCTGATTCATGATATGTCCATTTTATCGTTTATCTTCCACCTATTCTCGTTTTGTTTCACAAATACCCCGTCAAGATTAGCAATATATGCACGTTAATTTTACCTAGAGAATCTTTAATTGACTCACCCATTCCTTGGACTAAAATCCACCGAAAACATTTTATTCTCCAGTTATTTACATCCTTACTTACTGTAGCTATCCATAACTAAAATCTGTATTTATTAATAATAGTCAGATTTTACACATTCATTGTTCTTAAACGTTTAAGTCGACGTTCTTATAACATATTATATTTTTAGCATCAATGCCACCACTACCACCCACAGAAATGTGTAAGTTTCAAGGAATCCAATTAGATCCTTGCACCAGATTGAGTAACACCCGCCCTCCTATTCATTATCAGTGCCGCAACTGTGTAAATTTGAAGGAATCCATCAATTAGATCCTTGCATCAGATTGAGCGCTTCCCCCCCCCCCTCCCTTTATCTATTTTGTCAGATTAAATGTGAATCCAGTGTAAACGTATAACATTTGATTTATCAGAATGCCCATCCTCAATTTTACTACCTATACCTTACAATGTATCTGGACAGTCGCCTTTATACATTTAGTCAGATGAAAAGTGAATGCAGTGTAAATGCTTAAATTTAATTTGTCCGAACAACTATCCTTAGTTTTACTGCCGTTACCTTTCAAGTGATCTGAACAGTACAATTTGTACAGTTGAAAGGGCAATAACAATTAAAACATTTTATATCACTAATCAAGCCAACCTGTAGAATTATAGATGACTTTCCATTATGTTATTTTATTTTTATCATAAACAAATTCTTCCAGCATCCATATTATTGTTACATTAAGGAAAAAAGATAAAGTTTTTGACCAGTTTCTCCCATTCCCGAAACGCTTGTTTTTTGGGGGTTTTTTAAAAATATTTTTAAGCCCTAAAACGTATTACTTGCAAATGTATCTGCGTGTATTCGATGAAATCACATAGATTACAGATATATATTACAGTTCACCATGCTATGTATGCGTACTTAAGATTATGATATCACCATACGACCCATACTTTCAGTGAATTGAATGCTAGAATGATATGTTATTGAGCTTTATCGACCGTCCTCATAAGACGATCGTGTAAATATAGGTAATGTTTAAAGTTAAGTAATATTGCACACTGATATCAGTGAATGCTTCGAAATATTTGTTTGATTTAGTTATTTACGAAAGATATTATGTGCTAGCTTTGTATTTTATTTTATTTTGCAGCGCCAGCGGTAATACCTATAACTCTACCACCTGTAAAGAAAGGTGAGTGGTTATATGTGATTGCTGGTTATATGTGATTACAATACAGTTAAAGGGTTTAAATATGTAACCGGGTAAAATATTTTTTAAACATTAATTTTAGTATGTCTCTTACAGACTTTGAAATAAATCTTAAACCACCCGTTTCTTCGGCATCATTAACCATGTTTACAGCTAATACCTGCAATCTCGTCAACAAGACAGCTTCAACTAAACAGCCTCCAAAAATTATCGACCAGTGATAGATTGACAACTCAAGATATAAATATAAACGGCAAATATTACTTTAAATAACAACACATGCATTTATACATTTTCAATCTTTTTAATAAAAGGAACATTTATGTGACTAGATTAACAAGTACAATAGTAATATGGACCAGGAATTTCACGTCGATCGTACATAAATTGGCGAAGCATTAGGCCTTTTTAAAGAGCGTCGCCAACAAGAAGAAAAAGAAAGTTCCTCCAAAAAATCTCGTAGTGTAGTTTATGATACTGAAATGTATATTATTTAATGAATGTTTTGCTTTGATTAAATATCGTTTCAGGTTGTAAAAGTAGTCAAATCGATTTGGTTTTTGTATTGGACGCGTCTACAAGTGTAACAGAGCCTAACTTTAAGCTAATGTTAAATTTCTTGAAAGACTTTTTACAATATTCGGACATTGATAGTGGAAGTGTTCGAGTTGGTGTAGTTATTTACAGTACAGATGTACACGTTCAGTTCCAGATGAACGAGTATAATTCAAAACAGCGAATGTTTGATGCCATAGATAATATTCCATACAGATTCGGTAGTACAAATACGGCGGGTGGACTTAAAACGATGCACGAAGAAATGTTTACTCAACGAAATGGCGATCGACCCGGTGTTGATAATATTTGTATTCTCGTGACTGATGGTGTTTCCAATATCAATTCACGAAAGACTGTCCCAGAAGCCGAAAATGCCAGAAACAAAGGCATTCATCTTTATGTTATTGGTATCGGTTTGACTGATACTCGAGAAGTTGATCGAATTGCTACACCACCCATAGAAGAAAACAGATTTATAGTTACCGAGTTTGAAGAGCTACAAGGACTTAGAAGCAAAGTCTTCTCCTCATTTTGTGGTAAATTTCTTCTTTTTGAAAACACGCTATACATGTTAATTTCAGAAATATTTATTATTGATAGTTGATATTGTATTTTAGTGTAGTGGTCGATATGATCACGGTGGTTAATACTATGTTTGTAACTATATGTTTACGTCAATGTTATTAACATGTGTTTTGTCTTATTATTCAATATTTGTGTGAAAGTTGGCTCTATTGGTGTACCGCAAACACCGTCTTGATAATTATCTGACAATTCTGGACAGGGATCGTTTCACGGTTCATGGATCTTTAGTGGGGGACAGGACTAGTGAAATGCATTCGTAATATGTTACAATGTACTGTAATGCCGCGCTAGATTTAATTATTTTTCGGAAATTCATGAAATTTATATTATCGAGGTAAAGTTCAACAGAAGTGAAAAATCCATAATATTATTAGCAGCAAAAGACACTCATTATACTTACTTCCATTTCGACCCAGTTCGATAACAATGGATCATTCATTGTCATAAACATCGATAAATTTAAGACCAACTGTACATTTTTATTGAGACTTTTTACACAAAAACACTAAAAATTAAATATCGAATAGTTTGCAGAAAATTTGATGGTAGCTATTCACTACTGGATACTGACAATACTGCTAAATATTTAACAGGTGACTTTTGCAAGAGAAAAGTGATTAAAGCCCATTTTCTGTCGGAAATGGTTAATATAGTGTCAGTAGGCATTAATTATGTATTGTACATATACCTGTTACGAATGATGACACTTTCAGTATTAAAACAATGGTAATCTCGATACCCATCACACACAAACTCAATCTTTTGAGATGTCGATTGTTAATTAGTTGCGGTCTGACAGCAAAACATCAATTTAACAGGTGACTTTTGCAAGAGAAAAGTGCCATTAAATATTCAATTTGTGATTAAAGCCCATTTTCTGTCGGAAATGGTTAATATAGTGTCAGTAGGCATTAATTATGTATTGTACATATACCTGTTACGAATGATGACACTTTCAGTATTAAAACAATGGTAATCTCGATACCCATCACACACAAACTCAATCTTTTGAGATGTCGATTGTTAATTAGTTGCGGTCTGACAGCAAAACATCAATTTCGTGGCCACAGTATAATTACTAACCATAATTATAATGAAAATATGCCCCATTAGAGCCATTCATAGCACAGCATAGTAAAATGAACTTGTTAAGTAGTGACTAGTTTTGATTTTACAATTTAAGGATTTGTAAACCTTTTATGTATAGTATGATTGTGATTTAGTTATTTTGATCCTATGTATACTTGTATTACATTGACGTTTTTAACTATTTATATTTTATGTTCTAACATGTATATAATTATTTAGTATTAAATTACATATAATCGGACAAACTCTGTAGAAAATGGTAAGGTGTATATTAACAACTGTAACAAGGTAACTATGGTTCTATTTCTGCTTTTTAGTTTTATTAAGAACTTGTTAATAATTTGTTTGGTAGAGGGATTCCTCATCGTGTATGTTTGACCAGTGTACACCAGCTGTTTCATAATAAGATATAACACAATGATATTCATCGTTTTAATCTTTAGAATTTCTTACTAACTTTGTCCACACGTATAAAGAAGTTGTGTCTTCTTTGGCCTAAGTGTTTATGTGTCAAAGGCCAAGTTATGTTTTGTGAGAACCACCAAATGTTGCATTATTTTAATATAATCATAGGTTTAAATTGTACAAAATATCCAACGCATTATCAATGTTAATTTCAAACTTTGTTAACTGTTTTAGGAACATCGCCACCAACCTTACCACCACCAACGACCAGTAAGTAGCATTTCTAAGAAACAAAAATAAACAAACTAACATCCCACAATGGCACTAAGTATCAACTAATTAAAAATTAATAATCGGCTTATTTAACGAATAACATCAAACCTGATATTGATATAACATGAATGTAATAATAAAATTCACCACACGCAGCTAAAGCGCATAAACGCGACCGTATAATCTTAACTTTGGGCGGATGCTACAGCGCAGTAGATCTTCTTCAGTGTCACCAGGCGTTTATTGAGAATCACGATTCTTCATGCCATCTTTTTTTCAGCCTGTGGAACAACTAGCGTTGATCTTATCTTCGTTTTGGATTCGTCCACCAGTGTAACAGAACCTAATTTTAAAAAGATGCTGGCCTTTGTGCAGGAAATGCTGCGCTACGCTGATATTGACAGTGATTATATCAGGGTTGGTTTGGTTGTATTCAGTAGCGATGTTAAAGTCCAATTTAATTTGGATGAATTTAGAAATAAGAGAGATATGTTGAGAAAGATCGGAAGTACACCTTTTAGCTATGGACGAACAAATACAGCAGGAGCCTTGAGAACCATGAGATCTGATATGTTTACTCCTTACAAAGGCGATCGTGCATCCGTGCCGAATATAGGTTAGTATCCGTGATAGCCCACCTTGAAATTGTTAATGGAAACATGCCAGCTTAAACATTAAATAAATTTTGGAATTAATGTCATATGCAATGTCAAGTATTATTACGAAAATAATATTCTATTCAAATCCACTAGTTATAGCTTGAGTTATGGACATTTGAAGTTTACATTTGGTCATCTATTAATTTTGCACCGCCATGAAAATATTAATTCAATCTTTTTCCCGTGTAGTAAGCTACACTTAATAAATAACACAACTATCAGTTATTTGAACTCCAGAATTCCAAGAAGTAACCGATATTCTGAAATGAGTCAGCGTGTCTAATTCACTCAAATGAAATAAAATAAAATAAGTTTAGATTGGCTGGTGTGTTATCCCTTTAAATGTAAATCAAATTCTTTCAAAAGTCTCTTAAACATAAAACGCATTAATGGCGATTCTCAGATTTCCTCTAAAGCAATAGACATCATGAAAATGATAAAATTACATTCATCTAATTAAAACAAAACATTCCACGAGAATATTACAAAACAATCCAGACATTTCATGTTAAGAGGCTCTTGTACGAACTTTCTATCATAGCCATAGTAATCACGGATGGTGTATCAACTGAACGACCAGAAGAAACTGTACCAGAAGCAAGACGAGCTCACGATGAAGGAATACTTATTTATTCAATTGGAATTGGATTAACGGATACCCGGGAATTAAAAGCAATAGCAACACCCACATCAACTCAAACTTCTTTCAGTGTTAATACTTTTGATGAACTTTTAACTTTACGAAATATGGTTTTCTCTGCCATATGTGCAAGTAAGTGATTTCTTTGCGCAATAGCCACAGTAAGCACATTATATGAAGATCTTCTGCTCATTAGTAATTGCCAGCGGTCGCAAGCATTTAATGGGGTGATAATTTTGCATGTGTATTATTTATTTACTAATGAATAGAAGAAAACGCCCCAAACAAGGACACAAAATGATTACAACGCCCCATTCCATTCAAGTAAGATTTAACCTGAATATAATGTCATGTAACCTTTAACTGCATTCCGGAAATATGATTGAAAGACGTTCTTCTAGATTGGGTTTATATTCGCAGACTCTGTTTCAAAGCAAATTTAGGGATGTACGTCACTCTTGCAGTGTAATGGTCATTTAAAACCTCCACTTGATTTTCCGCTTCTAGTTAAATTCTCCCATAGTGTCATATTGTAATCGCAACTGTCATTGGCGCGTTTTTACATGAACATACTTATTTAGCGATTTTTGAACCATTTGTAAAACAAGTCATGTGTTAATGTTTTCGAGAAAAAAATCGTATTTCGTAAGAACTTAACGTATCTCCTTTTACATTATGGAGAGCCTGATATGTGAATTTACTTTCGGCATGTGTTATAATCCCATTTTCTATTTTTACAGAGACTCCAAGTCCCACACTTCCACCGAGTAAGTTGAATGAAAATACAACGTATTTTGTAGAAACATATTCCTGCGTTCTTGGAACTCTGTTAGAAACACTATGTCCCACCCCACCCTCAGGATTGCTCTCCTTATTATATGATATATTATTCATCAATCTCAAATAGCTAGGATATTATAGAGATCCCTAAATCCTACCCAGTGTAATCGTATTCCATTCCCCCATCCTAGACATTCCAAGTACAAAACCGACGCATTTATTTGTAGAATCATACCAATATCCTATACCAAATCAAATTTAAATCCATAAACCCCGCATGTAAGCATGTTTGGAAAGCTTGATAGCTAGAATAAGAATTCCTTTTACACGCCTTTTGCTTATGATATTTATCAAAACTAAGTGAATACTTTTGTGTTTTTCACCAACATAGGGGGATGCTGTATACACTGTTTAGGAATCAACTATTTCCCTTTAGCTCAAAGTATTATGTGAATTTCTAATTGTACTTCTTTTCAATATCATCCATTTCTTTTTTTTTCTACTATTTATATTATTTAGACCAGTGTAGCTCTGTTAGTCTTGATTTCATTATCATTATTGATTCATCGACCAGCGTAACCCAAGAAAATTTTGTGAAAATGAAACTATTTGTTCAGAATATTTTAAGGAACTTGGACATTAACTCTGGTAATGTGCGCGTGGCTTTGCTAACTTTCAGCACGGATACTTCCATTCGGTTCCATCTTAATAAATATCGTCAAATGAATGAACTTTTAAGAGCAATCGACAAAGTACCGTACCATTTCGGTGGAACAAACACTGCAGCTGCTCTCAAGTTCATGAGGGATTATATGCTTAAGCCTCGTGGTGGAGACCGACAAAATGTCCCAGATACGGCACTCTTGATAACAGATGGATTTTCAGACATTAATTCAGCTGATACCATACCCCAAGCACAAAAAGCTATGGCTGAGGGTGTACATATGATAGGCCTAGGGATCAATTTGCCGGATACCAAAGAATTGCGTCAATTGGTTAGTCTACCGGTAAAAGATAATCTATTTGTGAGCAGCGATTTTGATGCAATAAGAGGATTAGAGGAAAGAGTACTGCAAGTTATTTGTTCGTCAGGTAGCTGTACTGTCAGGCAATTTTTGGGTTATCTGGTTTCTTATAACGTAACAGCACAAATTTCTGACTAAACGAATATTTTGTCTAATATAAAAATGGGAATAGTTATAGAAAACGGTGTTATAGTCATGATGTAAATAAATACTAACTCATTTATTCACGTTTCACATCACATCACTTTAACCCTAGAATTGTATCCCTTCTTCTTTCTTTTTTTTTCTCTTTTATTTCCAGATTGGTTTTTAGTTTGCTAATCAATTTCTGTTTTGTGTTTTTATTAAATAGTTTATAAACGAGATCGTGATAAAAGGATTTTTTTATCCAATGCCGATTATACAATACCCAATCTTTTGAGCATCATGTCAAGATGTTATTCATTTTATATATTGCATAATGATATCAATGGTAATTTAGATTATTTGTTGAGAGAAAGTTCACTCAGTATGCAAACTTTCCGAAATGAATCACTTATATCTGCAAAATGCAAATAAACAATGATGCCAAAACGGGAAACATAAATTCAACCTCTAATAGTATTTTGGACGACGATTCATTACTTAGGTTGGCGCTCATTAATTAGAAGTTTAAGACCTATATTTTCGTGGTATTGGATAGATTGTTTATTACTTCCAACGCATATTTTTGAGGTATATAATATTTAAATTTGTATTTGACTGTGTTAATATATTAAGATCATTACATCCATATCACATGTATAGTTAAAGCGTTTTTTTCTTTTATTTTTATTGTAGCTACTCAAAGACCAAGACCACGTATGTTACTTACAATATATTTTGTAATGCCTGGAAATAAATACTATATATATATGGGCCTGCAATGTTTACACAAAATAAACACAGACCAGGGGTGCACAATTAATGCGGGTCCCTAAATAAGACGAACATAAAATGGTTATATCTCGGTTTAAGTCATTACTCTTTAGTTTGTACATTGTTTTTAAGACAAATTCGTCATTTTTTTTTTAAAAAAGGGCAATGCAATATGAAACGCAGAGAATGGAAACCCCAGACAAATTCAGATATATTCCCAAAATCAACGAAATATATTTTGACATCAAAATTAAGACTTGAAAGACTATAAACGTTACAAAACTAAATAAAATAGTAACAAATCAATTTTGATATGATGAAGTTTTGTGTTTTGATAGGTCATGTTTCTAAAACATATTTACGTACTGATATTTTTTTAGGGAGCGTGTGTGTGGTACATTGTATTTTCGCTATATTCTAGACATCTTATTCAGTATTACGAAGAAAAAGCAATAACTTGATATTTCTGAAAAGAGGTTGATCCTGTGGTGTTTGTAGATACTAGTAAACAATGTATGTCGGTGTCATGGGCACCCGAGATAAATTATTTTAAAACATAGTTGATTATCTATCCGAAAGACCTAAATTACCCTGTGTGTTGTAGGCATAAGATTAGTTTCTAAAGCGAAAAAAATTCAGTAATTTTAAATAAACCGAATCAATTTTAATTTTCTTTTTTAAGCGTACAGAGCTGATGGATTCGATGTTGTTCTAATGTTGGATTCTACTGTTACGGATCGTCAATATGGTTGGATGAAGAACTTTGCCAAACAAATCGTAGCAGATATGGATATCGATTCCGGTGAATTCCGTGTTGGTGCAATGACATTTGGCAACTCACCTAACGTTGAATACGACCTGAATAAACATCCTTTCTCAGATGAAGCGGCTGCTCCTTTTGATACTTTCAGAACAACACGAGGTAGTCCAGATATGGCGAGAGCCTTCGACACAGTTAGAACTAATATGCACGTTCAGAATCGTGGAGATCGACCTCAAGCAAG